TGCCCAGCAATGAAGAGGCACGGCCAGGGTGAGGTAGGGATGGGGCAGGAGGACCTATCAGTTGAGGGCAGGCCGGCAGCAGGGTCAGGCCCGAGGCTGCCGGCGGGGCGCCCCCAGTTCCGCCTCTACTTCCTCTAACGCCGGGTGTTGGGAGCCCGTCCTTCCCGCCCTGACCCTGTCACGGGTAGAGGTTGTCCCTGGTCACAGAGAGAGAAACGGAATCATGGGAGTTAAGTGAAGGAGTGTCCTCATGGCAGAGCTGGCCTCGAATTCTTCTCATCAGTTCTCACCGGCTGTTCCTCTCTGGCCCTCGGGGTCCCCGTCTGTAACGCAGGAGTGGTTCCAGGGGCCAGGAGGTTGGGTCGGACGCCTGTGCCAAGCTCTGCAGTAAAGGCAGGGGCGTCCAGCTGGGTGAGAATCTGGGCTCTCCTGACCTTGGAGCCCCATTTCCTGGAAATGCCAGGGCTGCCAGTCTCCAGAGCCAGCCTGGGGCCCTGTGCCCGCTCTGGGCTCCTGGCCCATTTCCATCGCCCGGAAATCCCACCGCCCTTCCTCGACCTCTCCAAATCCTTCCCCAATGGCAAAGTATGTGAAAATGAAGGATGGATCGGCTCTCTTTGACTCAGCAGACCTCTCTGAGAGTGCGCCCCACAGAAACAACAAAAGACCCCAAAGCCGGCCTGTGGGAGGACTTTGTGTTCTAAACTGGAAACGAGCCAACTTCTATCACTTGTGAATTAAATCATCATGGGGATATGTGGTGTGCTGCCAGGCTGCCAGGCGCGGCTCCAAGGGCTCTCCAGACGTTGACCCCTCAGGACTCCCAAAGCGGGACGGCAGTGGGTAATGGAATTCCCACTTCATAGACGAGGACCCTGAGGCCTAGGTTCCTGGGTCACACGTGAGGACGGGCAGGGCCAGGGCCAAGCCTGGCTCAGCTCTGTCCCCCTTGCGAACCCTCGGCCACACCGTGGTACATGCACGGTGTGGGAGTTCGCGGGAGCCATGGTGTTTCTGGCACGTTGATAACAGAAAGAAGCAAAGCACAAAATGACAGTAAAAAAGAAAATGTTTGGGGCGCCTGGGTGGCTTAGTTGGTTGAGCATCCGACTCTTGATTTCGGCTCAGGTCATGATCTCAGGGTCGAGGGATCGAGTCCAGTGTTGGGCTCTGCGCTGGGCGTGGAGCCTGCTTGAGATTCTCTCTCTCTCCCTCTGCCCTTCCCTGCTCCAAAACAAAACAAAAAAACCACAAAAAAGAAAATGTTTGTGTTTACCTGCATTTGACGAGAAAGCAGGACCCAGACCTGGACTGTGAGGCATTTGCTTTGTATGCTGTCTCTCTTCAGTCTGGATTTTTATTTATTTATTTATTTATTTTTAAAAGATTTATTTATTTATTTTTTAACAGAGAGAGAGACAGCGAGAGAGGGAACACAAGCAGGGGGAGTGGGAGAGGGAGAAGCAGGCTTCCCGCAGAGCGGGGAGCCCGACGCGGGGCTCGATTCCAGGACCCTGGGATCATGACCTGAGCCGAAGGCGGACGCTTAACCGACTGAGCCACCCTGGCGCCCTTCAGTCTGGATTTTTAAAAAAATAACTTATAATTATTCTCTTTCTTATAAAATGTAAAAATGCATTTTGGAATGTGTCAAGCCCCTCGTCGGCAAGTCCCTGTGCCCAGTGGGGCCAGCGCCACACCCCCTGTTCCCAGAGCCCTTTGTGGCGGCCCAGGCTTGGGGTTCCTGTGCGATGTCTGCCTCCTCTTGGACGACCAGCCAGGTGGGGCCGCACTCGGTGGGGCCCTGGTGTTGGCGGAGGAGGGCCTAAGGCCGGCCGCTCCCTGTTGGGAGGAGTGGCCCCGAGAGTTCCCATGGACTCTGCCTTCTGCTATCCACGCAAGACCCAGAGAGGTAACACTACCAGCCCAAGGGCACCCAGCTGGAAGAGGCGGAGCCAGGAGTCAAACCAGGCTGTGGGGGCCCCGCCTGAGCTCTCCCCCAGACTGTGTGGGGCTCTCCCTGGCCAGGACCCCTGCCTGCCCAGCCACCCAGCCTCTTTGCCAGCTCAAGCCAAGTGTGGGCCGGTAACCCTGCGCTGCCTCTGCTCATTCATTTGTATTTTACACTGTCAATCCACTCACCCCCAACCCCTCCACCCCATCCGTTCATCTGTCCACCCTTCAGTCCATCTGTCTGTCTGTCCGTCCCTCCATCTACCTGTCTGTCCACCTGCCCGCGCACCCCCTCCGTCCATCTCTCCACCATTCATCCATCCACCACTTGTTTTCCCACGCCTGTCTTCCGCCAGCCTTCCCAGGGTGGCTGTCTTGTGCTGGGTGCTGTGGGCTCAGAGACGGGTCTGGCACAGCCCTGCCTGCCCGAAGCTCATGGCGGGCTGGGGAGCTTTTCCACCTGAACCACAGCCCGAAGGGTGAGGTGGCGTGTTTTCTGTGTCTGCTGTGGAGAAGGGTAAAGTTTGGGTGTGTTTGTTCAGGAGACAAAGGGCGGGTGACACTTGGCTGCCGTGTCTGGGGAAACACACTTGTCTCCTATGTCACTGTCTTGGGCTGCCCGCCCCCTCCAACCCCACATGCCCCTTGTCTCCTCCCCCCTCTGCTTCTGTCCTTGGCGCTAACTGCTGTTTGGAGGTCTCCGTGCTTTTGTCACCTCATCTCTTGGTGGTCTGTCTCCCTCCCTAGAACGTAAGAGCCACAAGGCAGGGACTCCTGTCTGTGTGGTTGTTGCTGTGGTCTCAGAGCTGGGCTTGAATGCACAGCCCGGGGCGCCTGGGTGGCTTCAGTCGGTTAAGCATCTGCCTTCGGCTCGGGTCATGATCCCGGGGTCCTGGGATCGAGCCCCACATCGGGCTCCCTGCTCAGCGGGGAGCCAGCTTCTCCCTCTCCCTGCTGCTCCCCCTGCGTGTGCTCACTCTCTCTTTGACAAATAAACAAATAAAATCTTTGGATGCAAACAGCCTGGCTCCCAAGCAGACGCTGAGCTGTGTCTCTCTAAAGGCCAGGCAGGGCATCATCCTGCCCTTTGCCCTCTGACATGGCAGCCGCCACTGCCAGGCTGTCTCCCCTTCACCCTGCCTTGGCTGGGCAGGTGGGGAGGGGGCTGCCCCTCCATCAGCACCCAGCCTGTTCAAGGCCGGCCTGCGTCCACACGTCAGAACACAAGAAAACAGGTAGACACACAGTCCCTGACCCGAGGGCCACCTGGACGAGACAGTCCGAACCCTGTGCCCCTCTACCCCGGTCCTGCCAGCTTTCTGGCCAGTAGGACACTCACTTTGTGTGGCCCTGGGCAAGTGCACAGCCTCCTTAAGCCTGAGTGCCCCCGTGGCCACCTCGCAGCACTGCCGTGTGGGTCATATGGGAGCATGTGCTGAGCCCCTGGGAGGGCCCACTGGGTGATGCCCATGGGTGTCAGGGCCTGGCCCTCGGCATCAGAGAGGGGCTGGTTGTTCCAGAGTGTCTGGCGATCACATCCAGCCCTGCCACTTGCACGGCCTCAGACAAATCCCCTCTTTGGGCCTCAGTGGCTCCATCTGTAAAATGGGACCGTCAGCCCTGCTTTCCCTTCAGGAGAACCCTGGCTTCGTGAGAGGCCCAATCAGCAGCCCTGGCCCCTGGTTCCCTAGCAATGGGCCCCTCAGGGCTTGGTCAGTGCTGGGCTCTGGGAGCTGAGCAGAGGCGGATCTGGCGGGGCCCGGGGAGTGGGAGACAGAGGTGGGTGCACACAGACAGTGTGGGGCCAGGGCAGCGTGCAGGGCATGGAGCAGATGCTGGGCTGTGACCCGTGTTTGCTTGTGAGGTGGGGGGCGGGAAAGGGGGGCTCGTGCAGCCTGCCCGTGCTCGCTCCCACTCCCTCCTGCCGGCTGGAGCCTCCTGAGGATGGGCACTGGGCCTTATCCGCCTCCGTGCAGCCTCAGCTCGGCCCCAACCCGGATGGTGTTTGTTGAGTGAATAGGATGGAGCTTCGAGGGCTCCTGGGGAGGCCCGAGGGCACCAGGAAGGCTTGGAGGGACAGGGCTACCACAGCCCCATCCCCGGACCTCCCCGGAGGTGTCTGCACCTGGCAGTGTGGACAGTGAGCCTGCCACCTCCCGTGGCCTCACATACTTCCCTGACCCCCGGGTCCCAAGGGCACTGGGACAAGGGTCCTTTGGGGGGTGAGTGGGAGGGAGTCCAGCTGCCCAGTGCCTGGGTTTGGGCATTGCCCCGCACGACCTCTGCCTTCGAGGCCACTGGTCAGCAGGCTCCCGTCTCCTGTCCCTCCCCCGGCCCCAGCTATTTAAGGTCGGCCAGGAGCTGATGAGCGCTGTCAAGGCCACCCCGGTGGTGGCAGACCGCTGTCAGGCAGGCAGACCCCAGGGCCTTCCCCACCACCCTGCTGTCCATGGATTTTGTGGCTGGCGCCATCGGAGGTAACAGACAGGGACCGGGGGAGGGGGTCCCAGGAGGC